TTATGCAGCCCTGAGAGGCTACTCCCCATGTCCTTCCTTTTACAAACAAAACCGAAGCAGGCCTACAGGGCAGGAGAGGGGATGGCCACAGCTTGACATCTGAGACATACAACTTCTCCACGGGATGCACAGATCCCATTTTGTTAGAAATTCTTGTTTTTCAAAAATCCGTCTTTTCAAGGGAACATGATTCAAGCATCTCACTTCAGTAAACATGGCTTCTTAACTTCAGAGGAGATCTGAGGGGCTCTGATATTTCCCCGAATGTCCAGCTGTGTTCCCTAGGAACACATTTTCGCGTCTTGTGACCCAACACTCACTTTGTCTTCTCACCTGCTTCTCCTAGAAACGTGGTGTGTTAGCAGGCCCTCTGATTCATTTTATTGAAAGAATCGGTTAGTAGCACCTGCTGGTATAGCCCCAAAATGACTTTTATGTGATAGAAACAAGCTTAGCTTGGCTCCAGCCACCATCCCGTGTGTTGGGATGTCCGTGCTGGACTTGGGCTGGCTCTGCTGATGATGGGAATGTTGGTCTGACTGAGATATAATGACTTACAGAGTCTGGGGAGAATCCAAGTAGAAAAAAACTTATTGAGAAGAGGAGTCTGGGCTATATATAGCGAGAGATTTGGGTGCCATCAGCATATAGGTTCATTCATTTATTCAGGTATATGGTAACAGTTTATTGAGCATCTACTCTGTGCCAACCCCTGATAAAGGTGCAGTGGTCTTCTTGCACAGAGCTAACATTTAGTGGATATGTGGCTCTTGGGGGTAATTAATGCCGGGGAATAGCTGAGATCTTCTACAGTAAACTTTTGAAATAAGAACATGCGGCATCTATCTGAAACCAGAAAACTGTTGTGGGGAGTCTGGAAGGACACTGAGCAGCAGACAGACAGAAACGCATCCAACAAAATACGTAGTGAGATACAACAAAGATGCCATTGTTTTTTTTTCTAATTAAAAATTTTTAAAAATTATGTAAGTTACAGGTGTACAATAGAGTGATTCACAATTTTTAAATCACAATTTATAAGTGATTCCATTTACAGTTCTTACAAAATATTGGCTATTTTTCCCGTGTTGTACAATATATCCTTGTAGCTTATTTTATACCTAATAGTTTGTACCTCTTACTCCCCTACCCCTGTATTGCACTTCCCTCTTTCCTGTCCCCACTGGTAACCACTAGTTTGTTCTCTGAATCTGTGAGTCTGCTTCTTTTTTGTTACATTCACTAATTTGTTTTATTTTTTAGATTCTACATATAAGTGATATCATACAGGATTTGTCTTTTTCTGTCTGACTTTCTTCACTTAGCACAATTCCCTCCAAGTCCATCCATGTTGCTACAAATGCCAAATTTTCATTCTTTATTTATGGCTGAGTAGTATTCCATTGTGTATATATATATCTTCTTTATCCATTCATCTGTTGATGGACACTTAGGTTGCTTCCATATCTTGGCAACTGTAAATGATGCTGCTATGAACATTGGGGTGCATGTATCTTTTTGAATTAGTGGGTGTTTTTCTTTTTGGATATATACCCAGGAGTGGAATTGCTGGGTCATAAGGCAGTTCTATTTTTAGTTTTTTGAGAAACCGCCATACTGTTTTCCACAGTGGCTGCACCAATTTACATTCCCGCCAAGAGTCTACGAGGGTTCACTTTTCTCCACATCCAGGCCAACATTTGTTATTGGCTTCTTTTTGATGACAGCCATTCTGACAGGTGTGAGGTGATACCTCATTTGTGGATTTGATTTGCATTTCCATGATGATTAGCGATGGTGAGCATCTTCTCATGTGCCTGTTAGATGCCATTGCTTTTTACCCATTAAATCAGCAAGAATTAAAAAATGGTAACTAAGGAAGTGTGGACTCTGGTACTTGCTTGATAAGAAGACTGTACATTGATGAGGTGTTTCGGGAGAAGCTGTTTGGAAATACGTGTCCAGAGCCTAACATTTTTACCTCTCTTTAGACCAAGCTATTTCCTTTTAGGAATGTATTGCAATCTGGTATTTAATCATGAATATATGGAAAGGCTTAGACACGAGGCCTGTCATCACAGTGTTGTTTATAGTAGTGAAGCATTGGAAATGACTTAAATGCCTAAATGTAGGGGATTAGTTAAATAAAGGATCAGCATGGTTCTGCAGCCACCACACACCACTAAAAATGAAGATGTAGAGGATCTTTAACAACATGGGAAATATCCACAATACTTTTCTGTGACATAAAAAAAGTTATGAACTAATTTATGAGGAAAAAAATGGATTGAGAGAAGATATTAGCGATTTTTAAAGGCAACAAGGGATCAGTTTCTAAAATATACTCTCTCAAAGCAACAGGAAAAAGATAGGCAAGGACAAATAAGCAAAGGTTATGAGTAATCACTTTTCAGAAGAGGAAATCCGAAAGGCTATGAATCATATAAAGAGATGCTCAGACTCATTAGTAAGTGAGAGAGAAGCAAATTAAAATGAGGGATCAGGACTTCCCTGGTGGTGCAGTGGTTAAGAATCCTCCTGCCAATGCAGGGGACACGGGTTTGAGCCCTGGTCCAGGAAGATCCCACATGCCGTGGAGCAACTAAGCTCGTGCGCCACAACTACTGAGCCTGCACTCTAGAGCCCGCGAGCCACAACTACTGAGCTCATGTGCCACAACTACTGAAGCCCGCGTGCCTACAGCCCGCGCTCTGCAACAAGAGAATCCACTGCAATGAGAAGTCCATGCACCACAACGAAGAGTAGCCCCTGCTCACTGCAACTAGAGAAAGCCTGCACACAGCAATGAAGACCTAATGCAGCCAAAAAAAAAAAAAAAAAAAAAAATGTGGGAGCACTTTACTTCAATCAGATCAGCAAACATTAGAAAGCAGTGTGATGTTAAGCTGGGGTACAGAGAAGATGGTAGAGGAGCCTGTGGGGGGAGTGTGGCCTGGTGCCAGCTTTCTGGAGGCATCTGAGTTGATGGTGCTTGGTTGAACTGAGAGACATACACCCTTGACTCAGCACTCCCACTCTGGTGTTTATACCCAGAGCCAGTCACATGCAGCCCCATGAGGGGAGTCTCGTGGGAATGTCCAGGACAGGATAGAGGGCAGTCTGAGAAGTCTCAGGCAATCTAACCACCTACTGCGGAGCAAACAGATCAAATAGGCACGTGATGCCCACTGTGTAACACGGAGCAGCGGTTAGAAGAAATGAGGTTGACAAATACAGAGCCACGTGCTTGGGTCTGAGGTCATAATGTTGAGTGAGACAGTAAGCTGAGAAAAGATGCAGAAGGTCGTTCGGGGAACTTAAAATGATGCATCCAGAAATCATGTTCTTGTGCCATGTTTTATAACGACTCGTGCTATCAAGCAGGTGGGCTGGGTGGGGTGGGGAGGATGGGACTGGGGGATGAAAAGCCAAGGGAAGAATGAATAAACCATCAGTGCCAGAGAAGAACCTGGTCCTGGTCAGGAAAGAGACCATGCTGAGACTGAGAGATGTGAGGCACCCCGCCACCTGTCCCTGAGGGTCAACCTCAAAACGGAAACAAATAAACCCACACCAAGTCCCAGACAACCAACCAAAAAAATCAAAAGTACAGATAAAAAGTTTGCTTCAACAATATTATTAAACAGTCTATTCGTAGATAAAAGCCTGAATATCAACAGTCATTTTTCTGGATATAGGCCTTGATATTCTTCCTGATATTTTTTTTTCTTCCCAATTTTCAATGCTGAACATACATGGCTTTTGTATGAGAAAGTGTCTTCTGCAAATGAAGTCTGAGAGCAATAGGCATGTGTGATAGAAGAAGAGCCAGGGACTCATGGAGTTCTGTAGCTAAAGGGTGAGAATGTTCCAAAGAGGGAGGACTCATCTGGCCACGTGACCCTTAGTTAACTCCCATTCTAGCCTGCAAGGGGTGTGTGTTTGGGCTAAAACTAAAGCATGACACACCTCCGCAGCTGCTTAGCCCAGAGCAAAACACCGGGAGACCCACCTCCGTGTCCATCTGTCTGTTTGCTGTCCCTTGACTGGTGGCTGTCGGTTGCTGGCAGGATGCCGGGATGGACTCCTATGTGGTGACATCGTGGCCTGGGAAGGCTTCTTTCAGGGAACCTGGACACTCTGGTCCCTGCTGGGAGTTTCTTGCACTCCTGACAAAAAAACAACAGGCAAACCTTTGCTGTTCTGTGAGTCAGTCCTGACATGGCTACAGAGTATGACAATTGAAAAGTCAAGGACACAAATAAAGGTACCTTCTCAAGGTTACCTATCTGGTAAATCAGGCTTTGGCTAGTTTCATGGTGTATGTCCCGATCGTCACGCCTGCTGACCCTGGGTCCCCGGCTCGTACACATTACTTTTGTGTGCACTAACGGAGAAGTCCTTTTAAGTTAACTTGGGGGTTTAAAGAGTCATTTTGAGGACAAATTCCTCTAAAAATATTGAGTGTGAAGCAAATGTTGCTGAGAATGAACTTACATCCTTTTCATCTCATGTGGTAGAAGGAAGTTAAAATAGAAGATACAGAATTACATGCCTCTACAAATATTGGTGGGACATTTACACGTCTATTCTATTTACTCAGCCTTTTTAAAGAGGAGCAGTGTCAGGTAATCAAAACACAGGCTTTGGTGTTAAAGCCTTGCATTTCAACTGCATGTCTCACTACCCTGGTGCCCTTTGGTTCAGTCAGTTTCCTTACTTACATAGAAAAAATAGGAAAACCCATCTCTTTCGTGAGAGAGTCTGTGTAGAGAGCCCAGGACGGTGCCTGGCAAACGTTAGATTGTCAATATGAGTCACATCTAAATTGGAGTCTCTTTTTTCAGAAGTGTTCCTTATTTTAGTCAGTTTCAGATTCTTAGAGGAACCATCTGCAACAGGAACTGGACTGAATGAGGATGGTACCTTGTCCCACAATCAGTTTCATCAGAAAGTGTTGTGACAGGACTGTTCATTTTTCTTTTTTGCTCTGAATTCAGATCTGCTTTGCTGAGGCATGGAGGCAAAAGAGGTCTCAGAGGCTGAAGACAGAGCTGAGGATCCAGGTTCTGAAAATAAAGGCCAGCCTGATGCTGCTCAGCCTGATTTCCCACCAGGAGGGCAGACCCCTGGCCCCACTGCCCTCTGGGAGATGCTAGAAAGGAAGTTTCTGGAATACCAGCAGTTGGCTCCCAGGAGCCCAGCTGAACATCAGAAGAGCCTGTTGAATCTTCTCCCGCTATTCCTAAAGGTTGGTGTTCTCATTTTTGAAACTGTAAAAAGATGATACAGCACTCTGGGGACACTTCCGGGATGATTGGAAGCTGGAGTCAGTAGTTTTAATATCATCACAAGTGGCCTCTGACTGGTTGCTTAGAGGAGAGTGTTGTGCTCTTTAGTAAAGACAGCAAGCAGGACTCCTCTCCAGGGTGAGGACGGGCTTGCAAAGGATGGACGTTGGCTCTTGAGTACCATTGTCTCTTTAGTTTAAAAAAATGATATTGTTTAACAATGATATTTTCAATCCCAGCTTGGGAGCCAGAGGAGAAACCTGTACCTTCGGGAGCTAGAAGGGCATCTGTGTCCTGACATGTGAGTGGCAGGGTGGCTGGTAACCTCAAACACCAGTAATGCCAACACCAGGGCCTGGGAGAGCCGGAACATAAATTGTGCCAATGATGCAAACTGAGGTGTAATCCATGGGAGCAGCAAAGCAGTGCTCCCTCCCCTGGTTGCAGACACACAAGAGAAGTCCAGCCTGTCCACTGGGCTGGCACTCTGACTAGTGGCAGCTGGTGACAGTTTGGGTACAAGGGATTTCCTTTATTGTCTTGGAATAAAGCTCCTGCCAGTGAGGTCTGCCTTATAGCTGAAAATATTGAAGTCTAATTGTAGAGCTGGAAATGCGTCTTTTTATGAAGACTTAGTTTTTGCTTGACTATTGATTTGGGGTTATTAGTACAAAAACCATGTACCTACATTCAAAGTGCAGAGAATATGAGATACTTTTCACATTGGAAAGTAAACTAGAACAGGTGGAGGCTTTGCAGGTTTTTATTGGGAAACCCCTTTGTTAATATGTTTCATCTCACTTATTAACCAGGAATACTTAAGGATTTCCAAAGATGACTCAGAATTTCCTTGGGATCAAATTTATAGGATGCATGGAATACTTAAGCATGCCTTTCTGTAAAAAATTGCCAAGTAACTTATTGTCCGTGAATTCATTGTTTTTCTCCATGTTTCAGATTCGGATACTCCATCCAACCCATTTCACAGATTGGATAACTGGGGCATGGGGAACATACTGGAAAAGAGGAACTAGATAAGGAGAGAGGGCCAGGTTTCTCCTTCCCAGCCATCCCTGCTCTAATGACCCCAGCTTCTGGGAGGTAGCTTTGTCTCACCCAGTTCTCAGATCAAATCTGCCTTATAAAAGGAAAAATGTGAGCATTGCCCCCTCCCCCCCAAATCACTGGGAAGGTATATGGGGTCCAGCCACTGCACTGTATCTTTTCCACCCCTCTGGGCAGCCCTAGCTCTGATGAAAGGACTCTGCATCTGAGAACCAGGGCTTGATATTTCCTTGCCTCTCTCCAGATTGTTGATTTGAGAATTCATTCATTTGTTGTACAAATATTTATTGAGCTCCTATACTCTGTTCTAGGGCCTGGTGCTATGAAAGTAAGGACGACAGATAGAGGTTTTACCTGCATCTGTCCAGAGCAGAGGATAACTGACTAGCACCCAGAATGTGTTCTGTTTGGCTTGTAGGGGTTAAAAATGAATTAGTGCCATTTTTTCAAAGTGGAAACTTTTCAGGTGAGACTTAGACTTCAGATTTCTCTTGAAAATATTTGTAGCTGTAATACCGATAATTGGATGGAGATGGTTAGGGGCACCTCTTTTAAACAGAAGATGGTCTTGGTCTCTCAGTTTACCCTAGTCCCCCACTCCCTAATATCTTTCGCCCAACCCATATCACTCATTTATGTTATCTGACCCTGTAGGCATTGACCTCATGGATAGCAAGCTGTTCCTATTATAACTGAACCTTGGTATTGGTCCATGTTTCCCAAACCTTTTCCTGGTAAAAGGAGGAACAACAGCCCTATTGCTGGATACGTGGGCTTTAGAGTCAAACAGTAGGGCTCCAGTCCCAGCTCCATTGCTTATTAGCTGTGCATCCTTGAGCAAGCTACTAAATGTTACTGAGCCTCAGTTTCCTCATCTGTAAAGTGGAATCAATACCAATTTGCTGGGAGACTGTGAGGGTGAGATCAGATGAGGATTGTAAAGTCCACAGCACGTGGAAAGCAGACATGATCCCCATCACCTTTCCACCAACCTCCTGGAAACTGACTGCACATGTGCAGTTTGAGATCCTGTCACCACGATTCCCCAAACTGCTGACAAAATCTGCTCTGTTTTGGATCCCTGGAGCCCACCTCTGATGAACCCTGTAGAGGCAGATTATTACAGGCTTTTTATCATTTTCTTAAAATCTATATCTTTTATTAAGTCCTATATGTTTACAAACCTGTTGTTCTTATTAAGTTCTGACTAATAAACCCTGCCAGAACCACAGCCCTCAGGCTTCTTAATTAAGAGCTGGTAGCAGAAAGGAACATGGGGAAGGTGGGAGGTTTTGGGGGGTTGTAGTGCAGATAAAATCTGAGCTGTAGATGAAGACTGAGGACAGCCATTGGAATACAAGTCCCTGTGTTAGAAGTCAAGCTTGTAACCACTCTGTTCTGAATTTTATACCCATAAAACAGAACTCTTCAAGGTTGTCTGCAGAGAACCCCTTAGAAATATCAGGACTTTAAAAAAAGTCATGCCATCTCCCATGGCATGTGGCCGATTAATGTCTGATACCTCCAAACACACAGCAGGGGATGAACTTCTCCCTTATCCTGTCATTGTTTATACATAAATCTGCATCTACTATGAGGCAAATACAAAGAGGGGCTTGGTTGGTTCTATAGTAAATTCTAGCCCCACTGCCTCCCAAGTTGAAGAAACACTGCAGTTGTTAAGGAGTAAACCCACTCAACATTTCGGTGACTGTCTTGGTGATAAGAAGTCTCAGGGCACTGGAATCCCAGCAGGGAGCTGCCCTGAGGGGATGAGTCAGAAATGAAGTTCTCACTGGGATCTGCAGGCTCTCCTCCTCTACCAAGCTCCATCACTCCCTTTCCTAGGTCAAAGCCAGGGCAAGTGGTTACTTTCACTGATGATAGGTAGTAATATTCACCAAGCTCTAACTAACTAAGCCAGGCATTTTGTTCCATGCTTACAAGCCCTTATAATAACCCTGTGAAGTAGGTGCTATTTTTATCCCAGCTTTATAAATGAGGAAAGGGAGGTTTAGAGATGTTGCATAACTTGGCCAAGGTCAGCCAGCTGTTAGTGGGGAGCAGAACTTAACCTGGGCAGTCCACCCGGGCTCGTGTTGTTAACCACTGCATTCCCCCGGGCAGTGCTGAGGTTCATAGAACGGAGCACATCTGGTTTCTTTCCCTATCTCATGACTCACTGTGCGATGGCTTTGCCTGGCTCGTACCTATGTCCCGTTTCATACAAAAAGGATGCCACCCCCTGCACATGTGCTGTTTGTTTAGCTGACTCCAGGATGTTGCAGACAAGGAGGAGGTTTTATTGCATCACACAGGAAGCAGCACAAAGCCAATGACTTCAGAGTAACCACTCTGAAGTAACCAGAGTGCAGAGCAGTGCTTGCAGGAAGGATTCAATTGACTGCTACTCTTTCTCTGCCAAGAGCCTTGGGCTTTGGTCTTTCTAGCACCCTTCCCTATCATAAGATCTTACACCAAGAGAAGAAGGCATTCTGCTAGCAAGCATGGGTAGGTCCTGTTGGCCTTCAGTTGAGTTTGCTTTGGGGGAAAGGGGACCACTTGGGTCCTCTCGTTGCATAGAGATATTGGGTAATAATAGATGGAGAAAACTAGAGCTACAGATGTAGCTGTTGAAGATTGTTCTTAGAATATGTACTTTGAGAGAAAGCAGGCAGCGAGACAGGGAGTCCTTAGAAATTAGTGTAAAATTCCTCACTGTCTGGGACAGACCACCTGGGGGGTGGGGCTACATGGGAAAAAAAGGGAATCTGTGGATGTGGTAGGTTAGAGATACTGTGGATGGGTTCACACTGCTCCCTTCAAGAGGTGACATCTATGTCCCCTCCCCTTGAGTCTGGATGGGTTTGTGATGGCTTGACTAATGGAATAGGGCACAAATGACATTTCTGGGCTCAGGCCTCAAGAGACTTGTAGCCTCTCTCTGTCACTTGAAATACTCATGCTTAGAACCCTGCTTCCATGTTGTGAGGAAGCCCAAGCAGCCCCGAGTAAAAGCCTATGTGGAGAGAAACCAAACCCACTGACCGTGCAGCTGCACTTGCTGCTGAAAGTCAGCACAACTGGCCAGCCATGTGAGTGTGCCATGCTGCAAATGGATCTCTTAGCCCTTGTCCGCTGCCCCAGCTGAAGCAGAGAAAAGCTGCTCCTGCTGAGGCCTGCCCAAATTGCAGATCCATGAGAAAAATAAATGACTGCTGTTATTTTAAGCCACTCAATTTGGGTCCAGTTTGTTATACAGCAATAGATAATCAGAACAGTAGGTAACATGGACAGGAATCCATTTATTTCCTAGTGTGGAGGGATTAGAATTAACACTAAATCAGTTGTACTTGGAGATGAGTGTATTTGTGTGTGTGTGTGTGTGTATGTACATGTGCATGTACACAGGTGTGTATAGCTACTCTTAGGCTAACTGCCTGGCCAGTGGTACAGCGTTTATACCATTGGGTGTGGTCAATTATTCTCATGCAAACCCAGCATGGACCCAACTGACTATGGAAGAGAGAGAAGTAACATTAAATATAATAATAGGGATGACCAACAGTTATTTCCAAGTGTGGTATCCAGAGGGGATGGTGATGGTAAATACCGCTTCTTGTCCATCCCTGACTCTAACCCACTTCAGAGTGGGGCCGGCAGTGTGGTTTATTCCCTCCTCAGGGGAACAATATTTGTGTTATGTTAGTAAAGTTTTGATGCATCACTTTTTTTTTTTTTTCTGTTTACAAAGGAGAGAATCAATTGTGTCACATTATCAGGGGAAACTCATGTAAAGTCTCTGAAATGTTTTGAGTTCACTTAAAGGTCAAACCACCAAACTCTGAGGCAATGAAGAAATAGTAACACTGCAGTCACACTTGAAAACTAACCAGATTCTCTGTCATTCAAAGCTGGGGTTTTGTCCCATCTCCTCTAGAGCTTCTGTCTTCCTTATGCTCTGGAGACCAGAGCATCATTTTTTTTCTCTTTCTTCCATGTGAGGGGACAGCCACGAGGCATGATGGTGCAGTTTAGAGAATATAAGTAAATAAAAGTTTTTAAAAATATTGAACAATATTCTCCCAGCGTGAAAATTCCAGTTTGGGGAAAAAATTAGTTCCTTTCAAAAGCTGCCGTAACTCTTTGGGGTCTCCACGGTACCATTCAGTAAATGATTGCCTCTGTGCATCAAACAGCACCCCAGTGGCCTGAAAGAGTTAATGGGGCCTCCAGAAGTAGCCATCTTGGTCCCAGGAAGGAGTGTGAGCCTTGGGAGAATCTGGCTGAGCGTACAATTACTGTTCAACTCACAATGGCCCGATTTGCTTTATTGCAGAATGCCTACTGGAGTCCCACTGCTCAAAGATGATCTCCATGCCTCTGAGTCAACTCCCTGCAAATTGGTCTTTGAGGGGTTTGCCACTGCAGGGAGGAGGCACAGGAATTTGTTAGGAAGATATCATAGCAGATATGATATCAGTCCTGGGGAGGGAAATAATGTTACCACTGAAATTCCCAGCCAGAAGGACTGACTTTATCTCTCCAGAGATTAACCTTTCCATGTGAGAGCTGGTTTCCAGGTGGTAGCCATACATTTCTTAGACATGCACATGCTACTTGTGTATGTGTGAGAGAACTCAGCTCTTTACTCTGCTGTTTAACTTGTTCTCTAGGATTACCCTATGGCTCAGCCTTTGTTTCTGTAAAGTGGGAATAATAATAATCCCAATCCCTATGCAGATTAGTGGAAACAATGCATGTCAGTGCTTGGCCCAGCATTTGGCACAAAACCAGTGCTCCGCAACACATTCGGCCAACGTTCTGCACACTGTGGGTCTCATAATCGTGTGTTTGCTTATCAAATATTTGGTGAAGGTCTCCTGTGTATAATAGTGTTTAACATTCACCTAGTATTTTTGTAGTTCTAGCAAAGTTCTGATGCACTGCTTTTTTATTTACAAAGGAAAGGTGCGACTATGTTCGTTTATAGGGCAGAAAATTTTTAAGTGTTTCAGATACAAAGTTTTGTTCAAATCAAAATAACCAAGTACTCACCACCCATATAAAAGAAATGAAGCATTTCAGATAAACTAAAGCCACCTGTGCATGAATTCTAGAACTCATTCCCCTTCCACCCTCCTCCAATGGTAACTCCCAACCTGCTGAACTATCATGCCCTGTGGGAAATGATATATAGAGAGACAGCAAGTTACAGAAGTATATTACAGTATCATTCTAAAATACCTGTGAGACTATATGTAAATTATACAGTAATATGGGTGCATTTTTATAACCATAAGCAATATTATTGTGTAATTTATGTACAGTCTCACAGGTTTTTGTAGACTCATACTGTAATATGCTGTTACAATTTGCTTTTTCCACAACATTCTATTTTGGGGATTTATCCATATTGATACAGCTCTATTTTTCTTATTCAGTTCTATATGATATCCTTATATAGATATGTCACAAATTATTCATTCATTATCCTATTGATGAACATTGTTTTTCCCAATCAAAAATAACGCTACATGAATATTTCTTGTTAACGTCACCTTGTGCATGTGTGCATTTCTCTAGGGACTAAACCAAAGATTGGAATTGGTGGGTTTTTGGATGTGTGCCCCTTTAACTTTATTGGATTACGTTAAATGCTTCTTCAAAGAGGTTCTTCTAAGTGACACTCCATCATAGAGTATGGGGGTTTCATGGTTCCTCACCTTCACCCACATTTGATATTGTCAGATTTTTCATTTTTACTAACCAGAAAATTATAAAATATCTCCTTGCAGTTATAGTTTGCATTTTCCTGATTATTAGTAATTTGCCATTTATCTTTCAATAAGTTACTGTTTCATTTGCCCATTTTTTAAAAATCAGATTTTTTTCTTATTAATTTATAGGAGTCTAAATACCAGTCCTTTGTCAGTTATATGCATTGCAGATATTTTCTCCCAATCTGTGGTTTGCCTCCTCATTTTGTATATGGTGTCTTTTCATATAGAGAAGAGTTTTAAAGGTTTTTACTTTTAAACAAATGTAGGTAGTATCTATTGCAAGGAAACATATTGAAAATGATTTCCCTTTGGAAATTTTATGTGTTTCTCACCCCTTCTAAAGGAGGATCTCAGCTTAAAAAAACTTGGTCAGGCCTCTGGGCAGGAGCATAATTTAATACGGCTGGTGAGTGGGAGCAGGAGTCAGGAGTCCAGCAAAATTACATTTCATAGAGGCCACTAATTGGCACAGCAGCTTACCTTCCTGGTGGGAACCTGGGATCAGGAATTGCCAGGAACTCAAGTCTGGGGCCGAGGACAGTCACTCCACTCTGTACTCAGCCTGTGACAAGAAGGGAGAACAAAGGGAAAAGGCTTTGCATGAAAAGCAGATCTAGGGATAGGATTACTACGGAAACTGGGAGGAAATTTTGAAAAGAGTCTGGCATCCCAAGCAGAACTGTAAAAGACTTCTATTAAACAGTATCCTAAACAATAAGGGGAAAAAGTCTGAGGAAAATGATGAGCAGATGGGATAGAGATTAAAGGGACAGATAAGAAAGGATTTTAAGGAAATTAAAAAGAAATAGGAGATTAAAAAAAATGACAACAACTTGGACTCGGAAAGGATTTCCTAAGCTTTTAACTAAATCCAGAAAGCAAAGGAATGGACTGAGAAATTTCTTTTCATAGGAATTTCAGATTTCTGTACAGCAAAACCAAACAATACCAAATTTAAAGATGAAATGACAAATTCGAAAAAAATCGAGATAGTATTATAGACCAATGGTTAACGATTTTTATATATAAAGAGATTTTTGAAATAAATAAGAAAATAGTGAAAACTCCAATAGGATAATAGGCCAAGAGTAAAAATGGACAATTCAAGAGGCATGAAAAGCATTCATCCACTCTAGTTATCCAAAGATTGCAATTGAAATGAGATATTTTTTCTTCTACAAGTTTTCTCATTTAAGATGAAAAAGCACCATAGACCATAGTGCTTGACGTTGGCATGGGTGGAGAGAAATCAGACATTTTCCATGGAGCCCTTGGAGGCTAATCTGGTAAATTGTTTCTGGAGAGTGAGTTAGTAGTTAGTAATAGGTACCAAATCACTAAAAAGAGAAAAAAAAACCACTCTTTTAATTGAAAATCCCACATTTTTAATCCTACAATTAAATTAATTGTAGGATTAAATTAATCTTTTTTAGAATTTATCTGAAGGAAATACTTGCATGACTAAAACTAAGATATCTGCATGAGGTTTGACAAGTGTGTAAGAGGAGAATCAGTGAGACACAGCAATTGATGGTGAGGAAGGGGAGGGACGCGGGATGTAGAAAATCACTCCCGGAATTTCCCACTAGGGCAGGTGGGTGCCTGGTAGGGACATTCACTGAGGCAGGATGCAGCAGGTCTGGGGGGAAGGCAGTGGATTCAGTTATGTGTGTTTGATGTTTCAGGAGCACGAGTTCAGGGGAGACGTCCAGGGGCCAGTTGGAGGTGTTTGGAGCTCAGCAGGAAGTTGAAGAATTCATAGGCACTAGTGTAGGGAGACAGTGAAAGCTGGAGGGTAGGTGATTCAGTGGCCTTTGGATGCACCTGGCTCAAGTGAGTTGAGCCATTGGTTTGGGCTGGCAGGGAGGGAAGGAGGTGATTCTGATGCCTTGCTTTGTAGCTTTGACATCTCTGAGCGAATCCTGCATGTTGCACTTCAGGCCTGGGAACACTCCGTGGGGATCATCTGCTTTCCCAGTCTCCAAAGGCTGGCTGAAGATGTTTCCAACCAACTTGCCCAAGAAATACAGAAGGCACTGGTGGGAAAGCCTGCAGGTGAGAGAAGAGAGGTCCTGGAGAACTTCACAGTAAGCAAAACAGCTCTGTAGACCCCTCCCAGGCCTCCGGCTAAGCCCCTCTCTGCTTTCTAGAGGAGTGAGAGTAGTGACTTCGAAAGCACACGGAAGGCCAGGTTCTGCCACTGAATACCCTGGAGAACAAAGGAAAAGGCTGAAAGAGGGAAGAGAAGAGGGACTTGGGAAACTCTGCTGCTCCTGGGAGGGACACAAACACACACACATACATACACACACAGACACACAGAAGCCAAAGGCAAGCATGTTTCCTGCTGCAGGTCTCCTGACTTGCATCCTTCCACTCAGGAAGCTGGACCCCAGAGGCTGGGCTAGGAGACTGAGGGCAGGAGGGAATTCCAGGGGGAAGGAGTGGCTTGAGCATGGTGTAGATTGCAGGAATCCCTGTGACAAAAAGGGCTGTGTGATACAGGAAGTGGGGAAAAGACACTGGATTGTGGCAAGTCCAATTGCCGAGGAGCTTGTTATTATTATTTAGTAATAGGGAGCCATTGATGGTTATTGAACAGGGAGGGTGGTATGATAAAGGCTATCCTCCAAGGAGATTCATGTGGCAGAGAGTGAAATGTTTGGTACAGATGCAGGTGTCATTGTTGGGAGGGCAAGAGGCAGAAGTTCCCTAGAGACGCTAAGGCACATCTCATGGAGAGAGGGGCCCACGTGGAGAGAAGCTGGGTGACCAGGCCACCACACTGCCCTGCTGGTGACCCTTTCTCCCCTCCCCCACACTCTTCCAGAGCAAGCACGGGTGGCAGCTGGGCAGTTGCTGTGGTGTAAGGGAGATGCGGATGCAGAGCAGGATGGCCACCTGCTCCTGAAGTCAGTGTACGTGCTCACGGGGACAGATTCGGTAAGTTCCAGGCCCCAGTGGCCCAGCCTGGGTGCTTCTCACCTGTGTACAGAGGGACGTCCCAGCTCAGGGCAGTGGCATGTCTCAAGGGTGTCTTTATTTTCATGAAACTGATTTATCGTTTTTCCTTCCCTACTTCCCCTCGGATATAGAACGTGGACTTCAGAGTCTGAAATTCATATTCACATCCTGCCTTTTCAGTTGACAAGCTGTGTGTAACCTTGAGCAAATAACTTGACCTCTTTGCATCTCTGTTGTGTTGTTAATTCTAAAATTGGGGATAAGAATGCCTCCATTCTAGGGTCAGTGTGAGGATCAAAAATGACTGATGTGTATGGACTACATTTCCTGTGTGTCAGGGTGAGGCTGGGCGCATCCCATGCATTGTACTAATTAATCCTCCCCAAACCCTACGAGTCAGCTTACAGCGATGCTGCACTGGTGACAAGAAATCAGGTTCGCTCGTGATATGCAGCTGTAGTCTGTCTGACTCTGTGCTCTGAGCCACTGCTCTTTACTACCTCCGGCTAAATTCAGACTAAAGGAGCAAGGCCTGTAGGCACCTGCCCCGTGTCTCCCCAGAGACGAAAGCGACCGCTCCTCCTTCCCTTCCCACCCAGGCCCCATCCTGGCTGCAGTCACGGCCTCCCATAATGAAGCAGGGACCCTGAGCGGTTTGCCAAGGACTGGTGTCCTCTCAGGCAGAAGCAGTCCCTGGGAGCTGTGGCCATCAGCAGCAGTGGCCGAGGCCCTGTGCAGGGCAGGCCCAGAGTCTCCTCCATCTAGCGAGGCTGCCCATTGTGAGCCTCCTGGTGCCCAGACTAGGAACAGCAGGGAACCAGGCTGGGGTGGTGGCTGCCCTCTGTCTAATGGTGAGCAGAGGCATCAGACAGGCATTTGGAGACAGTGCCAGGAGGTGAGAGAGGAGCACAGCAAACAGTTGTTCACCAGTGGGAGGACCATCTGACTTTTCTTCCATGTAAACTGCCTGGACCACCATCAGGGACAGTGGCCTGGAGCACAGGGTGGGGGCTTTTCAGCCCCTGGAGAAGGACTGTTTTCAGTCTGAAGAGTAAAAAGTAACCTAGAGCCTTGTTTTCTGCTGCGAGGAGTCTGCCCCCAAAGCAGTGAGAGAGTAAGCAGTTGGCTTTCTGGGGAGGCAGTGCAGTTTGGAGGACAGGGAGAGCCACCCTGAGTGCAGTCATGCAGGGCCACATGTCCAATATAGGGGCAGACACTACCTGCAGTGGAAGCTTTTAGGGACTAGTGGCCTGCAGTACACTCCTGCTGCTGGCCCAGGCTGTACATTCCTCTTTTCTCTTTTCTAATTTACCCACCATGTCTGTGAGATTAGTCAGTCGGGTGGGAAATTGCATGGACAGTATAATTTTTAATAACCGTGCACGTGCTGTCTCACGGTCACGTGTATGTGCACACATGCGTGTAGAGGCCACAGCCACAGTAATCCTGGTGCAGCTGCAGGCACAGCCTGTGAAGAGAGGCCCTGGGAAGCTTCACACTCAGGCTGGCCCCTCTCTGCCAGCTCCCTGTCTCCTCTCTGTCTGGCAGCCCTGGGGCTGTTTAGCTGTGGTGTGGCTCTCTGGATTATTGGTCCTCACCTATAGGGCTGTTTCGGTCATGATGAGGTCTTAAATCTGGACGAAGGGATGGACAGGGCCCTGAGCATGTCCTTAATTCAGTTGCGTGTACTTGTTCTCAACCACCTCTTCCCTACTGAGTTTCCAGTTCCCTCATCAGGAGGAAACCTACCAAAATCAGAGGTATGATTGCCAGGAAAGCCCTGGATTTCTGCCCTGCACCAGTTCCACCCTCCTGCCCTCCCTCCTTTCCTTCCTTCCTATCATCTGTCTACTGTGTAAAAGATATGTTTATCGAGCACATAATACACACTTTATATCAACTTAATCTTCACAGCCATCCCAGTGGGCCCTATGATTGCCTCCATTCTTAACTGAGAATGTGTCGCCCAGAGAGAGGAAGTGACTTACCCACGTTCGTGGCTAAAACAGCTGCACTGGCTGACCTCTCTAGTCTGGGTCTGGAGCCGTGCTCTGCCTGGCTCTGCGGCCCTGGGTCACGTCTGCTCTTCACTTGCAGGAGACGCTGGGCAGAGTTGCCGAATCGGGGCTCCCAGCCCTGCTCCTCCAGTGCCTTTACCTCTTCTTTGTCTTTCCTCTGGGAAAGAAAGAGCTTTTTGAGAGTGATGTTCAAGTTCAGAGGATGTTTGTGCAGGTGAGTGGGAGGAGGGCTGGACTCCCCTGCGCCGAGACCGAGCTCTGCTTCTCCAACCTCCTTTCATCTCTCTCCCCCTAGTTCTGAAGCTCCTCTATTCTCCTGGAGGGTCCAGATCACCCCTTTCCCCCAGGCTCTGCAAATGCCGGGGAACCCCATGCATTTGGAAGATGGAGTTTCTCTCCATCTCGCTGTATCCTTGTATTGCCCTTGTTCTCTCCCAGGACGGTGTGCTCCTCCTCCCCCACTCGGCCACACCAGCTCCTTGTCCTCCAGTCTGTGTTCTAAGGTCCCGCCGACCCTCCCGGACATCTGGAACCTCCTGTCTCTGGCCCCTGCACCTCTGAGAACAAACATGCTAAGCCCCCTTGCAGAACTGTAGCCAACATTTTCTAAGTACTTGCTATGTACCCACCCTATGCCATAACCTCACCTCTGTCACCTCCCCGAGCCCTCTCTTCCACCACAGGATGTGTGTGGTTTTGTGATCTAAGGCACGGTGAGTAAACATGAGTCCAGGGTCACAGAGGGGGTGGGTCGGGGCTGGGATTGGAACCCTGGGAACCTGGCTCCTGAGTCTGCTCACAGAAAGGCATTTAACCACTCTGTGCGGTCACCTCCGTCTCTCCTCTCAGAGGCCATCTCAGGCATCACATGCTATGTCCTCATGTCATTACCCATCTTTCCTATCCTCTCTGACCAGCAGCGACTTTTAACATAACTTCTCACCTCTCTCCCCTGCCCCCTTACTGACAAGTTCTGCTTTCTCAGCTTTTGGGATGCTGCATTCTCCAGAAAACTCCTCCTGCCTCTCTGGTGGGGGGACTGTGTATCTTACTCATCTTTGTGCCTTGGCCAGGGTCTCGCACAGAGCAGGTACTTCGGACCATTTGGGGATTGCCCATGCAGCTGTCCACTGAACATGCACGTCCACATCCCCATCCATTTTAGACCAATTCTCAGGCCAGAATCATCTTTACCAGAGGGTATCTCATAAGTTCTGGCAGGTTCCACTTATGGTGGGTTGTCCATAAGCTGCATCTGTTAGAAATTTAGGTGTCCTTTGCCCACACATAAATCATATTTTAAGTGGTGACCAGGACACAGTACTGGGTACTTAAGTCTTTACTGTGTGGCTTCTATGTGCTCTGCGGGGAATTAGTACAGCCCTGTCTTCCTGGTCCTCTCCATGTATGGACAGAATGTGAGCCACAGTGATACCGCATCAGAGTTCCTCAGGGTTTCCTTATTTCATTCCACAAAATATAGAGAACTCCTCTTGGGCTCGTCACTATGCTGGACCCACAGTCTCTCACAGAGATGACAGAGAGACAGAGAAGTTAAACGGGGAGATCAGTCGCGCGAATAAATGATCAGCGTCCAATTTTTTAAGTGCTCTGATGGAAAAGTGAGAGATGTGCTGGGAAATGAGGACAAGAGTATAAATGGAGGCCCTTCTGAGGAAATGGCATTGAATCTCCCTGGTTTGGGGCAGAGGGTGACCACATATGACCCCATCCTTCCCGCTGAGACATGGAAAATTAGGGAACAAATTCATCACAGGAAGGAGGCTTCCTAACCAGAGTCTCTTTGGCTTTTTTTTTCCAGATGTTGCTCAACATTTGCGGTGAGGCTCAGGGTCTGGAGGGACTTCTCTCTGGAAACGAGCTCCAGTCTCTTGTGATTGCCACGACGTGTCTTCGGGAGCACAGCTGCTCCTTTTGGAAGGAGCCCACCTTCTGTGTGCTGAAGGCAATCTCCAAGGCCCAAAACCTTAGCATCATCCAATACCTGCAGGGTATGACCCTGGGAGACCAGGGCTGGGCTGTGGGCACACTTTCTAGAATAAGACCTTGGGATGCCCTTGCAGCATCAGTATAGATTCCAGGGACCAAAATAGTGATGAACAAACAGGATTTTCACCGATGCCCAACTATGCCTAGTAGGTGACCCTACATTGCTTGGGTCCATTCATGAAAGTGTCTTTATTGTTCATTTTGATGCTCTACTGGAGGAGAGAGGGAAAGGGGAACTCATTTACTACACACATGCTGTTGAACAGACACTGTGCTGGGCTCATTTGTATGTTACCTCATTTGCTTCTTTGAGATACATATTGATAATTAATGCCATTTTCCAGCAGAGGAAACAGATTGAGTGATAGAAGAATTTGCCAAGGCTCCCCAGCTAGTGAAGAAGAGAATCAAATATTAACCCTGGAGATGCCTGATTCCAGTGCCTTAGGTTCTGCTCTGGGCAGCATGTGTAAGGGTTAAGGACTTAGTTCTGGAACCAGATGGCCTGGGGTGTGGGCTCCAGCTCTGTCCTCCTAGCTGAGTGACCTTGGGCACTTAACTGCTTGGGTGCTTCAGTTTTTTCATCTGTAAAATGGAGATAATAATCCCGTTGATCTCAGTGGATTGTTGTGACACTTCGATGAGTTGGCATATTTGAAGTGCTTAGACCTGCTTGTCCACAAACACTTGCCCTGTGACCTGTCTTCTTTCTGGGGCCTCCTATAATAGCCGGTGTCAGCTGGTGAGAGCTGGGAAAGTACAAGCCCACCCTCTTACTGTAATTGAGCCCTGGGACGAAACTTCATCCCCAGTTTCAAGATTGAAATTTCCCAGTGAAGCCAGGGCCCAGTGGTAATGGTGCAGGGCTGAGCTGGGCCTGAGGTGCTCAGCATCCCCTGAGAAAAGGCTGCCTGCCTTGGTGGCGGGGGTCTCTCACTGCGGTCATTATTCTCAGCCAGAAAAGAAAAATGCCACCGCAGTGAGGAGCTGGCCACAAAAGCACTGTGCCATAGGGGAATGAGTAGTTTCCATGGGCGTACAGGCTGAGGAGAAGGTCAGGAGGTAAGGACTAGCCTGGTGTCCACAACTCTCAGTGCTGCCCTGTCTGGCATGCAGAGTTTGGAACTTGTCCTTGGCCTCGCAGGTGAGGGACTGAGAATGCCTTATCTCAAATTCTGGTAGACGCTTTTCCTGATCCACTGGTGTGACTTTCTGGGCACTCAGAAGAGGCTTCCCCCAATGAAAGAGCCCTAAAAACAGTGATCCACCCAAATGCAAACCCAGTGACATCTCTCTGCTGACTCCATTCTTGCCCTGGCTTCTCACAGCTCTGGGGTAACCAGTGTGTTCCACAGCAGGCCACATACCAGTGGGGCCTGTCTTCCTCCCCCTCCCTTGTGGACCACACTTCCCGGCTCCAACCCCCTGGATTCTTTAGTAGCTGATACACACCATCTTTTTGCCCTTCATCTTCCCACGGGTTCATATATCCTTCCCTACACTTTTCATCAAGCTCATTTCTGCTCAGCATTGCTTCCTTAAGGTCTTCTGTGACACTCAGGTCTGGTGTCTTGCATCTTGTTATTAATGGGCCTGGACTGTCCTGTGTGCTGGGAATTAAGAGCAGAGGGCTTAGGGGCTCCCTTCCACTTCCTGTTTCACCTGCTCTCCGTCTGGGCCCTCGAGTGTGGCTCTCAGGATGACACTTCTCATGGAGGAGGCTTCTTCTTGATCCAAGAGCCAGCAGAGAAGTGTTTTGAATGAATTCTCACTCACATCTTGATATACAGTGTAAAGGCAGGTGGGGAGGGAATGACCACTGAAGAAAAGCTATTGCCTTTGAATTAGCAGGGGTGTGTTTCCTTCCTGCAGCCATGGATTGCATCAAGATCTCCCTCCAGAACCTCTCCAGGCTTGCAGACACTCTCCCTGCTCCCGAGGTGAGCGAGGCACTGAGCCTCGTCTTGGGCTTTGTGAAGGACTCCTACCCTGTCTCCTCTGCTCTGTTCCTGGAGTTTGAGAATGGGGAGGGCTACCCTCTGCTACTCAAAGTGTTACTTCGGTAAGTGGCTGTGCTTGGTGGGGAAGAAACGGTGGAAGCCAAGGTCCTCACAATCATTTGCAGTGCTTTGGAGAAAGACAGATATTGGGGCTTCTCAGAATGTCTTCTGAAATACAAATCTCCACAGAGCATGGCCAGAGAGACTTTTATTGCAAAAGTAAATCAACGTGCAGCCGGGTTTGCAGCTACTTCTTTAGGAAACCAATGGGTGATCGCAATAATAGTTTTACTAAGTCCATTTGGTGGCATGTACCGCCTGCATGCCTGCTGGCCTAACAGCCGCCTGTCAGAATCCACATCCTGTGTTGGAGGGCTTTCTGGGATGGCTGTGACCAGCTCTGCCTATATGCTTGGGGGTTGGAAGTGCCCATAGATCAACAACTCCAGGACCAGCCCTCTACCAATGGCTGGTAGAAGCTGATGGATCCGTACCCAGCAAATTTGCCCCTTGGGTGGGAGAGCTCTACCCTGCCTTCCAGAGTCCCTGGGAGGATTAGAAACAAAAACAATACTCACTCTTGAAATAAGCATGAGGAAGTCTAATAAAGTCCAATTATTTCCCATGATGTCTGTATTGTTGCCATCCTGAAATATCAAATCTCTCATTTTGGGGGTGCTTCTGCCCTGCTGGTGCCCTAAGCTCATGACTTCTGGGGGGTCTGGCCACGGAAAGCAGCCTTCCGGTGAGCAGATGCTGTGGCTCTTCACAGGTTTCTCTTTATTCTAATTGCACATCCTCAGATCAAGGGCTGAGGCTTGCATACAGAGTGACTTTTATCCCTCCCTGCGTCTTTTGGTGCCGAACTGGTGGAGACCTTTTGGGTCTTGCCCAGCACTGCGATTTCCATTGCCTCTGTATCCCTGCAAGGAGCACCACGAGCAAACCTGGCTGCTCCGTCCAAGACGTCCAGGGAGCTGGCCTCGTCTGTCCCCACAGGTATGACGGGCTGACCCAGAGTGAAGTGGACCCCCACCTAGAGGAGCTCCTTGGGCTGGTGGTGTGGCTGACAACCTGTGGGAGGTCAGAGCTGAAGGTGTTCGACAGCATCACTTACCCGCAGCTGGAAGGCTTCAAGTTCCATCACGAGGCTTCTGGTGGGTCATTGGGTGTCTCTGGGTGCCTGACAGCACTTGGCACTGTGCCCTGACAAGGCAATGCAGGTCATTCCCTGATTCCCTGTGCAGAAACAAACATGTGGCACCCGTCAGTGATACAGTAGGGGCTGATTCCGTCATGCCTTTGCGGAGATTTAAAATCTCTCCTTTATAGATTTTTCCAGATGACCTGGGTGGGACTGAGACGAAATGTTTGCTTTAAAAAGGCAAAGACTCTCAGATAATGGAGGGAGCCTGTGATCTCCATCACAGGTGTGACTTACTTGGTAACATCTGCTTATCTAACAGGGACTGATGGCCCTGAAACAGCCATCCAGGCTCAGAGTCAGTGCCTCCTTAGCTCTACAACATACTGACTGATTGATGAACTCAATCAACATGTACTGATAATTTCTGTCCAGCAGCCACTCCACCCCATGCTGGGTACCACCGTGAAGAGGCCAGGTGTCTGCTCCTTAAAACTTCTCTATAGAGACCATCACACAAACCTTGAGCCATAATCTACTCAGTAACTGGCTAATAAACAGGCACAGTGGTGGCACCAGGGCAGAGAATTAGCTCTGCCTGGGTCAGTCAGGAAACCCTGCACAGAGGGTCCCATTCAAGACAAGTTTCAAGGCAAAGGATGGGTCATCCAGGTAGAAAAGAGAGGGAAGAAATATAAAGACAGAAGGTACAGCCTGGGGAGAGAAATGGTGACCAGAAACATCTGGGTGGGTCTGGGGAGATGGGCAGAGAGACCTGCGCAGACCAGAGGGTGGAGGCTGCAAAGCTGTGAGCCCAGTTTAGGAAAAGCCACTGGATGTGACTCCAGCAGACGCACAGGGGAGCGGCTGGATTAGAGAGGAGTTTCAGAAACATCTCGAGTGTCTGAAGCACAGAGGGCTGGAGGCAGGGAGTTCTCTGTGGAAGTATCTCCTGGGTAAGAGAGAATGAGACTTAACCTTCTAGCTGGAGAGAAAGGAGGGAGTGTGTTTGGAAGGTGTCTTTATTTAACAGCTTGCCTAGAAATGAAACTGACTTTGCTTAGTAATCTTTAACATCATTTGATTTTAATTAATTGAAACCGATCCTCCAGTCCTGTGCTGCCCGATGGAAATACAATGCGAGCCACATTACGTAATTTTAAATGTTCTAGCAGCAAAATTTTAAAAATTAAGAAGAAACAGGTTAAATTATTTTTAATAATATATTTTATTTAACCCAATATATCCAAAATATTACCATCAAAAAATGTGATCGTACAAATAATTGTTAATGACTTTTTTTTTGCCTTCTTTTCTTAGTGCTCCATCTTGAAAATCTGATGAGTATTTTTACACTCAGGGCACGCCTCAGTTCACAGTGGCCACATTTCAAATGCTTAATTATCCAGCATGTCTTGGACAATGCAACTCCAGCCTTATTCACGTTCTGGGCATATGGCTTTTCTGGACTTCTGACAGACATTTACCCACAGGAGCTAGAAAATAGAAACTTTAAATGGTATTTCCTCGTGATAATGCAAGCATGTATTTCTAGGCATAGGCAGGAGAAATGATTTGCAGGATTATTTCTTTTTTGCATCTTCAGGGGTGACCGTGAAGAATCTTCAGGCCTTCCAAGTCCTGCAGAATGTTTTCCACAAAGCCAGTGACCCTGTCCTCTGCACCAAAGTCCTGTCATCCATCAGGACCATGTGGGCCTGGAACGCCCGCAACTTCTTCCTGCTGGAGTGGACCCTGCAGCCCATCTCGCAGTTCGTGGAGGTCGTGCCCCTGAAGCCGACCCTGGTGCAGATGCACTTCTTCCAGCTGCTGGAGGTCCTGGTGTTTGAGCTGCATTACGTGCCCCATGAGATCCTGCGGAAGGTGCAGCGCCTGATCCAGGAGAGCCCAGAGCCGCTTGTCACCCTCGTGGCCTTGAAAACTGTCCTCAGGATTGCCGGCGGGGACCCGCTCTTCACTGACATCTTCCGGGACTCGGGGCTCCTGGGCCTGCTGCTAGCCCAGCTACGGAAGCAGGCTAAGATCCTGAGGAAGTCAGGTGCCTTCCAGGAGCTTTAGGAGGGGAAGTGGGGAATGGGTGGGGGCCAGTGTTAGCTGGGCCTGGTCTGTGTACCAGCCCCACCACCCATTAACATAACAGAGAAAGTGAGTGTGCCCATGTCACCTGGTGCCCTGAGAGTCAGAGAGGGTACCCCTGGGCTACATGGCTTCACAGCACAGGCAGCCTCCCTATTTTCTATAACTTGCCTGATCTTCCCCATGAAGAGATGGGAGGGATGGGTGTAACTAGAAGCCGACTCATGGGACTAACTCAGGCCTGATGAGTTCTTAGTTTTCAGATACCTCCTGCAGTAGATATTGTCTGAGTGTGTAGGTAGGGAAACAGCAGAAGGACAGGTCCTCAGCAATGCAAAGGGGAAAGGAGGCTCAGAGAGGCTTGAAAGTCCAGGATGGAAGGGTGTGTGGGACACGTCCGGGGTCAGCTGGGATACGGCCACCTTGCTCACATGGTGCTGTCGGACCCAATGGGCTCCCACCTGGAGCAGAGGTCAGTCACCAGGGCCTTGCTGGCCAGCTTGCCCCTCTAAACCTTGGCCACACTTTTGCATGCCCTGCTGGGCTGTACACCCGTGGCTCCTTGGCAGCACTCCCTCACCCTGCCTCAGGAGCGTGGGCCTGGGATTTCCCTGCCTAACCATGCCCCATGTACATACCCTGGATTTTACAACAAGTCTTCCAGGGGATTTTGATGCACTCAAGTTGGAGAACCTCTGATGTAAGGGTTGTAGGGTCACATCTTACAAATTGGGATGCACCCTCCTTTATAATGGAAGCATGATACTCATCTTTTTTAAGAGGATAGGAAACTAATGGAATTGGAGATTTGGGGCCATAGCACATATACTTAAAAATGTTTCTTCATTGCTTCTTAAATATGGCAGGAAACAAAGAGTCCAATCCTGGAGTTCAGGATACAGAAAGAGAACTGACTTGTGTGATGCTGAGAACTGTGGTCACGCTTCTGAAAGGATCGGTTCGGAATGCAGGTAAGGATGGTTATCAAATTCACCTCGTCACTGGTTGGGAAAACATTAACTATTTCCTGGTGATTTATGTCATTGTTCAAAGGCTATATCCAAGGAATAACCAACACTATCGCTGTGGCTCATGTCCATTCACTGGTTGATGTTCAGGGATCAACAGTAAATTGGTAGACACATCAGTTGACACTTTTTACTGTTTAGGTTGCTAAATAAGGCTGGGAATCAAAGAGTTATCTTAAATTTATGAGACCACAGAAACCCCATCTCTCTCAAGTAAAATCTTTTAATATACTGCTGCACTGACTATAGATACTTTTTAAAAAAGATTCAAATTGTAAAATACAGGCAAAGAAAACTCATCATTTTTTTTTTTTTTGCGGTACGCGGGCCTCTCACTGTTGTGGCCTCTCCCGTTGCGGAGCACAGGCTCTGGACGCGCAGGCTCGGCGGCCATGGCTCACGGGCCTAGCCGCTCCGCGGCATGTGGGATCCTCCCGGACCGGGGCACGAACCCGCGTCCCTTGTATTGGCAGGCGGACTCTCAACCACTGCGCCACCAGGGAAGCCCGAAAGCTCATCATTTTTAAGAGACATAATTTGATGTGCTTTCAGCCCATGATGAATTTAGTACCTTCATCCATTCAAAAAAAGTTTAGCTTCCTAAGATCATGTGGCTCTCATGCTTAAAAAATACGTGCCTAAAATATAAATGCATGTATATTATACTATGAAGCAGATGCATCAACAAAGTGACATCAGTGGGTTTGGTGATTGGGTGCATCTTTATCTGAGGCCCTCACAGGTCAACTATACCGAATGTGAATGATTATTTCACTATGGCAGAGCGTGTCTAATGTTAGACTATAAGAGATTCCCTGGAGGTTCTGGTTAATAGGGAGGTGCAGATTCCTAAGCTCCTTCCCAGAGATCTAATTATCAGGTCGAGGTAGAGCCTAGTAATCTACTTGTAAACAGGCTTCCAAGGTGATTTCCATGTAAGGGGTACCTGGCCCATAGTTGGGGAGATCCTGCCTTATGGAGTTGACCAGCTCAAATCCATGTCATACCATTTGAACGATCCAGTGACTTCCTAGTTCTTATTCTACATGTGATTACTTCAAAGATCAATCCTGGGGAAGAAATTCTTAGGATTACTTTTAAACAAAAACACACCATTAGCCAAATTTCTTAAATCCTGCCTGCCGCCCACCTTGCCACAAGAAACTACCTACGAGTTAAACATACTCTTAAATTCTGGTTTGCTTTCAAGAAGAATTTGGGCAGAGACAAGAGAGAATTGCCATTGGCCCTGGATTAGGGGATTACGTGGAAATAAATACCAGAGGTATATCCAATTAAAGTTTGTATTATTTACGTCTCTAAAAACAGAAAAGGGGGAAACTTTTTTTCAAAAACAGAATTCTCACTGGAGAAGAAAGCAGTTTTTCTTTTTAATTCTCAGCTCCATAGTTTCTCTCTTCCTCTTCTTATTTTAACAGTAGGTATGGATTTTGAAAAAAAATTTCGAATGCCTGGAAAAAACACATACACATGTAGTCAAACAAACTTGGAAATTGTAAGGAAAAGCTTTCCTTGTAATTGAAGCTAAGCCCCGTACTCTCTGTCTGGTCCCCAGTTGTCCTGAAAGACCACGGCATGGTGCCCTTCATCAAGATCTTCCTGGACGATGAGTGCTACCGGGGAGCCTCGCTCAGCATCTTGGAGCAGCTCTCAGTCATCAACGCCGAGGAGTACATGAGCATCATTGTGGGCGCTTTGTGCTCGTCCACTCAAGGGGAACTGCAGCTGAAACTGGATCTCCTGAAGGTGATGTCAAGTCCTCCTTTGTGATGGGTTTCCCATGGACATGCAGCAGGTGACCGGCATTTGCCCACGCATTCATTCATTTAGTTGGTCACTGTATCATACAGGTAGAGTAGTACTGGCTGCCGTGACAAATAAATCCCCCATCCTCAATAGCCTGGCACATTAGAGGTTTCTTTCTTACGTACCGTCCAATCAGTGATTGGGAGGAGTGTCATTCAGGGACAGCAGTCACCTGGGTATCTAATCGAGCCATCAGACAAAGGAAGGGAGAGCAGAGAAAATGGCACACGTTCTTTTTCAGGCCTAAAACTGGTGCACGTTAACTTCTGTCCAAGTTTCTCTGGGCAGGACTCATCTGGATGCAAGACATGCCAGGAAATGTAGTCCCTGGTTGGGCAGCTACTTCCCAGCCACACTGTAAACTATGGAAGTGCAGCCCAAATTGGTGGTGGCCAAGCAGCAGCCTTGTTTACTTGCCCAGCATTTAGTGAGCATCTACCAGTTACCAGGTCTGATGCAGAGTGCTCGGGACACGCTGTTGTATGAGATTCAGCCCTTGCCAACTGGTAGCTCGTAGACTAGGGCTAATATTAAGCAAGCAGTCATGGTGATGCAGCACGGTAATGCCCCAGAGGTTGAAGGCAGGCTGCCATGGGAACAGAGAAGTAGGAGAGACCAATGCTGCCTTACATGTTTGAGGAAGGCTCACAGAGGAGGGAACACCTCAACTGGGAAGAGGAAGCAAAAGGCAGTCAAAGGCACAGGAACAGTGGTTACAAAGGGAGAAGTAAAACTAGGCTGTCACCTTTGGACAACAAAGAGAAGCATATATTTTTGTTTTTGTAACATTGTTAATAATCATCAAGTTATCTTAAAACAGTTAAAGATGATAGTAAACATCATCAGCCTTACAGCTCTCACAATTTTGTTGCTGTTCCTGCTTTTCCATTTCTTTTGTCTTTGCGGGCTTATGCCTTAAAAGAAAAAAAAAATCCCCTTTCTTTTGTTTATGCTGTTTAAGAGAAGAGCCGATGTAAATGCAAATATCTCCCAAGGAACTGACTTGGGGACCTGTCACGTCTATGTGCAAAAGAACCCCCTATGCGATACACACTCATGTTGCATTATCATGCCACTCCGGATCACTGGTGAATTTTATACAATACGAAGCTGCTCTGACTTCCAAAATTAAACCCTCAACCTTATTTAGCTATGACTATCTCTGTACAAAACCATTTCGCCAGTTAGAGAATGGCATTCAGTTTATTTTACCTACTTTATTTCTCAGCAGAGCCAATGTCAGGCACTGATGCAACTGTATTCATGTCTTCTCATGACCTAATCCTGTGGAGTTCAGCATGGCCAATGTGTCACGAGAATCCCATCCAGAAGTGGCATTGTGACCATAGTTATCATGTATTTCGCAGATGACAAGAACCAGAACAGCGATTTAATCACAGGGTCAAAGAATCAGTGAAGGTGATGAAACAAAAAAGGAAAGTTAAAGGTCTGTTGAAAGACACTGGAGTCCCATGATTATGTGAAGTAACAGGATTGAGGGGAGCATGTAAACGGGAGAGTAAGGGAGAGAGATATCAAGAATTAATGACAGTTTACAGCTGGAGTGCACCTTAGCTTCATGTGGTCCTATCTTAATATTGGGCAGAGATAGGCCCCGAGAGATTCTAATACTGAATGGTGAAGTTGAGTTTGGATCTAAGACTAGTGATTTAAAATCTGGTGATTTTTCCTCTTCATTTTGCTGTTTGTTGCATTTTTTCTCATATGTCTGTGTTCAGCTTAATTCACATGAGCCTTATTCTAATAAGGAACAGGGAAGGCAGAGAGCAAGGCAGTTAGGACTTTGGTTTTCTATTGGGTGAATAATTGGAAGCCCTATCTATTTCTGACATTTTCATATTGAAAGTCAAACAGATTCATGGAGAGAAAAGTTTTGGAGAGCACAAGTGCCTTTGGGTCCATTATAGAAAAGCTCTCTGCTTTGCTCCTGGAAAGTTCATCTTGCTTACTCTATAGCCCAGAAGCACCTTATTGGAGTGACAGCCCTTGGGTAATAGGACTGAATTTCTAGAATTAGCAATGTAAAGCCATTATGGTGTTTTACAGATTCAATATCATTTCAGAATCACACTATCAACAGAGCACATCAGGGATGAACACTGTGTAAGCTTATTTAACAGAGCCATACCCCACACTCAATGTGCTGTCTTCTCCCTGGGTACCAAGTCACTGCTGGGCAGTTGGGAGGGTGCCCAGAGCCGCCATTGTTCTTCCAGGACTAGGGTGATAACACGTTGTAGCTCCCGTGGGTGGTGGGGAAGGACTGGGCCCCAGAGCCTGTTCCAGCCTTGCCCACCACTGAGTCGTGTGAGCAATTAGCCAACGTTTGCTGGAATCTGATGTGGGATCTGCCTTTGTTCTGCATCACTTTGGGAACCCCTTGGGAAACAAAGATGTAAAATTAGTTCTTTCTGGCTAGATTTCCCTTTTTGGCAGTTGACAGTGGACTCTGCCCAAAGCACTGTGCCTGCAAAGTGGGTCAGATGTAGGATGAGGTGAAAGTGGTAGAGGGAGGGGACTTCAAAGGCAGGACTCCCTGCCTCACCACCCAATAAAGGTTTGTCATCTCTGAAGCGTATTCACATCATGGTGCCACCCTCATTTCCCTTCCCTGAGAATCAGCCAGCTGCTCTGGAGGAGAAAATTCCTCCAGAAACATGTGACTTAAGGCAGTTGCTCCCAAAATCCAGTGGTGCTTCCATACCAATACAGAGGCACATGTGACTTCACCACCTAATTCTGGCAAATGATAACCGAGTTAAAGAATAATGTAAGCAAATGAATTTCCTCTCCATGGCCAGTGGGACTGTGATTGGGTTATGCACAAATTCAGATTGATTTGCTAATATACATTTAGCTGTTCAACTCTGAGCTTAATCGCATTACCTCACCGGTCCTCCAGCATGACACGTGGAAAATTATGAGGAATAACAAATAATAGAATGTGAAATAAATCCTGTTAGTCCTAACGTAGTTAGCGCTTTGCAGCAGACATCCATTTTATAGATTCAAGCTTGAGGAATACTAACTCAGAGAGGATGACATGGTAACTGAGTTAAGGAGGAGAAAATGTGCTTAACGCTGACCTTTCTTGAAATGTGTCAACCCTAGCCTGATTACTTTGACTTCAGCTGATTAAATTTACTCCCTTCCGTAGACTCTCAATCCTAGGTGATGCATTATCATGCAAAGTTGAATGACAGTAATGGAGACCCTCCTCCCAGGTCCCCAGTTCCTGACAAATCGTTTCCCGAAGTAGTGCAGTATTTATTTTCCTTTATGATAGAAATGTTTCTCTTTAGTTGCTATGAAATTAAGCCTTTGTAATTGGATTTGGGGCTCTTTACTTTATGACTCTGCAAATATGAAATTAACCCCATCCCAAGAAATAATAGAGCAGTCTAAGTTCTAATGAGATTACCCCCATTTTAGATAATGACTTTGAATTTAATAAATCAAACAAAGCAACAATTAAGGTCAGCCATTGCTTTTTTCTCCACCCCTCCCAACCGGAGGAGAAAAGAACCGTCTAGGAATTACAGAGGATAGACCCTCTGAGAGACAGACACTATTACTGGTTTGCTTTCTTTTTAAAATATCTGCTCTCAACATTCCTTGAATGATGGAGACCTTCTGAGCAACGTCTGGTGTCAACTTGGACAACTGGAAGATGGTTTCTTAAGGAAAGAGGGGGGTTTTAGTGGTCATCCAGCACTTAGACAATTGCTCTAATCTGATTAGTTTTATTTTTTAATTACTCTCTCTTTTGGGTGTTTGTTTTGTCACATGTCATGTGATAAACAGAAGAGCTCCATTCATTCCATTTGCCTTGAACAACCTCATCGTAGTTTTAGGAGCCACCGAAAACACTCACATACATCTAGACAGTTTACAGTTTCACAGCTTAAGACTTCCTGATGTCTCGGTGATGTATTTATTTTCCACGGCACGAGTCACATTGAGACAGGTCTAGACACACAATGCAATGCACGCTGTACCACACGTTAATGTTCAGCCTTTTGTGTGGATTATCAGTTGGCAGGAAGAAACTACCACCACCACAGGCACTTCAAGGTTAGAGTTCATTTCCAACTTGACCAAAGAAACAATATTCTGTGCGGAGTGAGTTGCTCACACAAGGCGGGCACAGAGGACTGGCCCCAGTGTCCTGGGGTTGGGGGTGGGGTTTGGGGAAGGCAGCTGTGGTGATGCAGTCTATAAAGAGAAAGGCCGTGCCTGGTCTAGAAAGCTCTGTGTTGCTAAACCATAAGGTTTTACATTCACCAAATGTCACTATTCTGAAGAATGTGCTCTAACAGTCTACATACAATCTTCTCTTTAAGGACCTGTTTACAAATATCAAACTTTCCTGGGTTTTGAGCCAAATTCAGAAGTAGTTGGGTCATATCCTCACCCAGGAGGAGAAAGCAGTTGTCACTGCCTGGTCCTTAATGTTTCACTTTTGCTTCTAGCTTTCAGGCAGTCTGGAAAGCCCATTTCCCTGAAGTCTATCCCACCACTCTCATTTGATCCCGTTAGTGCACGGCCCTGATGCTGTTTCTTTTAAAGAACAAAATGACAATTCAATTTCACCACAGTCACCCCCTGAGCTGTGGTGGGTAGTCTTTGATCTAACCACCATAAGTCATGCATTGTTTTCTCCTATAACTGGGAAAAGATCAACTGACCCACACTGGTAGGGATGAATCTTTCTACATCACTCTATATGATAATTTGTCCATTTTGAACATAATCATGGCCTTTGGCCTTTTACAGATTCTCCTAGTTTCTACAATCTTTGTTTTTAATTTCTTGAAATGTCATGGATGGGGCCGTGGGAGCACGTTAAGCAGCGCCTTGGTCATCATTTCTCTCCATCTTTGAAAGAGTCCTTGCCTGTATGCATTTACTTAGTCCTGCCTCATTTTGTGCTTTCTTACCCCAAGCTTGGGTTGACTGCCTGCCAAGCAGCTCAGGCTTCGTGTAGCAGAATATAATATTAGATAACAGAATTTGGGTGTTAGGGGTACACATTATATTGTTTCAGATAAAACTCTAGTGTTAGGTTAGGGTTACCAGCATTTTAGAGACAGAGCTAGAAAATTACCTTTGCCCCGCAAACTGCATGACTTCATATTTCATAGCTACCTGTAACTTTACTGAATTTCTATTTGACTTTCTCTATATGAGAATTTAAAAATCTAATCCCTTCCCTCCTTTTTTCTGACCCACCAGTTTTCTCTTTGTCAATGGACTTTCATGCATTATGCTATAGACTGTCACCCTAAACCATGCATTTAAGACACAGCATCATCCCCTCTCTCTCAAATTGGGAATTTCTTTTTATTTTTTCTCTTTGAAACTTGTTTCAAGCATCCTGAAATTGACTTTAAGTTGTGCCTGCCCGGACAACCCTCTTTCTTGTGTCACTGAACACTAAACACTTGAAAGGACAAAACAATTCAAATCTTCCTCCAGAGCAAAACTACAGGGACTGGCCATTCTCTGGGAAACATGCCTAAGAAGCCTGGGTCTTCGATGCAGTCCCATGCAATTTTCATGAACAGTAAATAACTAAATACCAAAAGTTAGAGGCTTTTGATATTTATCTAAGATCATCCGTGCATTCTTCACTTTTAGGTGTGAAACTTTAGCACAGAATGAGAACTTCTTAAATGTAGTCCTTCTTTCCTTCTGAAACATTTATTGAATACCTAGTGCATATCGTGCACAGGGCTCAATGAATAGTACATTGGAAGTGCTTAGTAAATATTTGATTTTAGAAGGAATTAAAAGTTTGGCTGTCCAGTAAAAATCTCAGCAATCTGTAGAAGGTAGATTGCATATGTGTGTTGAAATAGCCTAAACTCCACACACGGTCTATATTATATGCTATATCTATATGTTTCCTTCCATTAGGATTTCTCTTCTCCACCTTAACTTCCTCATATTTTCACACCAGGTTTTAAGTAGGTTTGTTTGACTATCTTTCATTTATTAGAAGTATCTGTGCTTGCACAGAGAGGGAGGTAAAGAGTAATAAGTTGCTTTATATAGATTTCACTGAGTCTCCTTTTGCAATACAGGAAATGGTTCATTCCATAAGTTTAGCAAATATTTATTACGTAGGTGCTATGTTCCACAGCAGTGAGCAAGCCTGATTTCATGGGGCTTCAATGCAGGCGAAGCCTGAGACAATTTTCAAGTAGCTTCAATACAGTGTGGTGAGAGTTTTGATTGGGGATTTAGAGGTGTGAGCACTCAGCCTGGGATGAGAACAAGCTAAGGGTCAGGGAAAGCTTTGTGGAGGGAGATGCATTTAAGTCAAGATACAGGACTGTAAGTCAACCCTATAAAGCAGCATAGCCTTTAAGAGCAGCCATTTGAATGAAGACACTGAGGCACAACCCAAAACTAAAAGTAAGAGGAATGGTACTGACCTCCCAGTGTTTCAGAGTCGCGCATCGGTAGCTCGCTGTTCCTACGGAGTGGAGCGCAGAAGAGCACCCGGAACGCTTTGGCAGGGATGGGTGGGAGCTCAGCGTTAAAGATCTGCCTCCTCCATCTCACTCACTTGTATCTCATTGGTTTCAGTCTCTGCTCCGGATCCTGGAGACACCCAAAGGCCGTGCCGCTTTCAGAGTCTCCAGTGGGTTCAATGGGCTGCTGTCCCTGCTCTCTGACCTGGAGGGGTCTCTCCGGGAGCCCCCACTGCAGACCTGGGGGGCAGTGTCCCCCAGCCAGACCCTGGACCTGGTCCTGCACACCCTCTGTGCTGTGTCTGCAGCACTGTACCTGGACCCTGTCAACGGTGACTTCTTTAGGAGGACCGGGCTGTTTGAGAAGCTGGCAGAGGACCTCTGCTTGCTGGGCTGTTTCGGGGCCCTGCAGGAAGAGGGCGCTCCTCCGCACTCCTGGCAGGACACAAAGGCCAGGCCATTTGCCGATTTGATGAGTGCGGCTTTTTCCTCTGCCAGCCCACTCCCACCCAAGATACAGAGCTGCCTCCAGATCCTCAGCTTCCTGGACAGCATGGCCCGAGGCACCCTCCACCTGTGCAAGGACCTGAAGGACTCCCCGAGGGCGAGGCAGGAGGCGGTTGTGGACGCTCAGAAGGGAGAAGCCGGCAGTGACCCCCAGGGAAACTTCAAGCAGTGGCCAGACCTGGAGGACAGGTAGAGCTTTGCTGCCTGCTTCCCTAATCTGTAATCAGTGTATCTCTGTCTCCCGAGTCCTACGTAAGCACCCCACGCACGCGTAGTACAAACTGGCTGTGAGGAACCGTCACGTTGTTACTTATTCTTCAGAGTAGGTGTCCCCGGCCGGCGTTGTTCCAGCGAATAGAACGAGACGGAGTTGGATTCAGAAGCAAAGGAAAGCTTTCTTCTTTTATCAGAGAATGGAGAGGTGCCAACTCACTTGCTCTCCTGACAGGCCAGGGGTGGGGCTGCCGTTTAGGGATCTAGAGTGGGGGGGGCGGGGGGCGGAGATCGCAATGCCGGGTGCAGCGTCTCTGCACACAGCTCGCCGCCGCCATCTTGAATTGAGTGTCGTATGCAGCGCTTCTGCGCACGATCCACGGGCTGCAGTGTCCCGTGCAGCCGTTTCGCAGTAGGAGCTCTGGTCTGAGGTGCGTGGTGTGGGCCTCTGTGTGCAGTACCCTATGAGCAAGTGAAACTAGACTAAGCACAGGAGAGGAGGTGAGACCTTATTTTATCACCTAGATTCCATTTTGTTTTTCCTAGGGACCCCAGAGGGCTTTGCTGGTGAAAGCAGGACTGTCTCTTCTTTAAATCAAGTTAACTTTGTTTTCAAGCCCCTCTCCCCGTTTACCCACCCCCACCCTGAGAGCTGGCAGAAAACCAATCCAACTCAATACAGGGCTGGGGGATGCTGTCGGGTTGCAGGAGAACCAGGGAAGTTTACCCGATCTTGGAAACTGAGGGCAGAGCTCTGCTGCCCATAGGCTCACTTTCTTCTTTGGCATTTTTGCTGCTCCTGGGAGATTTGATGCCTGGGCCCAGCCTCCCTGGTATGCCCGGCAGCCTTTGCTTCCTAAGTCTTATCTACCCCCCCGCCCCCACACACACACCTGCCAGGGCACTGCCAGGGTGTGGGTGTGGTCCTTGACTTGTAAGACACAAACAACAGCATCCTTCCTAATCATGGGACTCTTCCTGTTCTTCTTGCTGCTTCCATTTCCCCTAACAAGGACAATTTCTCTTACTTCTGCAGGCTCATCTCCTCAAGGACCTCATACTTTGATAACCTTTTGCTTTCATCCCTGTAACACAGAATTCCACTAAAGCAGGGGAGCGCAAAGAACCCCCCACCACCTTAGAGCGAGAGGGGAAAAACAAAAGAACAAGGCAACAAAATAGTTGGTGTCTTTTTTTCATTCCTCTGAAGCAGCAATGACAAAACACAAATATTTCAGTAAACTATCCTGCCTGCCACCTCTCCAGGTCATCTTGCCTTTAACACCACAGGACAGTCTTCTGAAAGACATTGCACGTGTTTCTTCAAAGAGAGCCCCCTTTGGCCAGACGTGTCGGGGGTTGGTGGTGAGGGGGATGGATGTCAATTCTCCAGCTACCATAATAATCATATGATTGTTCCTGTTACATTGGTTAATCTGGTAAATCGATTAGTTTTCTCACCTTGCATTCCTTCACAATTTGCTCATGATATAATTATTGCTAGATTTGATTTGCTAATTTTTGAAAAGAATTTTTGTTCTTGAGAAAGTTCAGCCTTTCACACTCCTTCTTGACTATTTTTACTATGAAATTTGTGTTACCCTCATAAATTGGGCAGTGTTCCCTCTTCTATTCTCTGGAAGAGTTTATGGAAAGATTACTATTTCTCTTCCTTTCTTTTAAAAATTAATTAATTAGCTGCATTGGGTCTTCGTTGCTTTCTCTGGTTGTGGCGAGTGGGGCTACTCTTCATTGTGGTGCGCAGGCTTCTCATTGCAGTGGCTTCTCTTATTGCGGAGCACGGGCTCTAGGCATGCGAGCTTCAGTAGTTGTGGCTTGCGGGCTCAGTAGTTGCGGCACACGGGCTTAGTTGCTCTGTGGCATGCGGGATCTTCCCGGACCAGGCTTGAACCTGTGTCCCCTGCATTGGCAGATGGATTCTTAATCACTGTGCCATCAGGGAAGTCCTACTATTTCTGTTCCTTAGCTATGTGATAGAATTTGCCAGTAAAATCTCAGGAGCCTGACGTTTTCTTGAGAGAAGATTTATTCTTTTGTTTTTTTACCTTTTTAAAAAACAGCTTTACTTTTACATAATTCATACACCATAATATTCACCCATTTAAAATGTACAATAATTTGTTTTGTATATTCACAGAAATATACAAGCATTACCACAATTGATTAGAACATTTTTATCACACCAAAAGAAACTCCATACCCATTAGCCATTATTTTCCATTTCCCCTGCCCCTACCTCCAGTCCCAGGCAACCACTAATTTACTTTCTGTATTTAGGAACTTGCCTATTCTGGATATATCATATAAATAGAATCATACAGTATGTGATTTTTTTTGTTTCTGGATTCTTTAGCATAATGTTTTCAAGGTTCATCCATGTTGTAGCATGTATCAATACTTCATTCTTTTTATTGACAATTTTCCAATGTGTATACCACAGTTTACTTATACGTTTATCAGCTGATGGACATGTGGATTGTTTTCACTTTGGGGTTATTATGAATAGTGCTGCTATGAACATTCATGTACAAGTTTTTGTGTAGATACATGTTTACATATTTCTTAGCTAGATACCTAGGAGTGGAACTGCTAAATCATATGGTAATTCTACATTTAACATTTTGAGGAATTACCAAATCATTATGCAAAGTGACTGCACCATTTTACATTCTCACTAGCAGTGTGTGAGGGTTTCAGTTTGAATACCTTCTTGCCAACACTTGTTATTATCTTTTTGATTATAGCCCTCCTAGTGGGGGTGATGTGGTATCTTATTGTGGTTTTGATTTGCATTTCCTTGAAGGCTAATGATATTGAGAAGCTTTTCATGTGCCTATTGGTTATTTGTGTATCTTCTTTGGACAAATGTCTGTTAGAGTCTTTGCACATTTTTTAAATTGATGTAACATTGGTTTATAACTATATAAGTTTCATGTGTACAACATTATAACTCGACTTCTGTATATACCATAGTGTTCTCACCACCAAAAATCTTGTTTCCATTCATCACCATACAGTTGATTCTCCTTACCCATTTTGCCCTCCCCCATCCCTCCTTCCCCTCTGGTAACTACTAATCCGTTCATTCTCTGTTATCTATGTGTTTATTTTTGTTTTGTTCTGTTTGTTCATTTATTTTGTATTTTTTATATTGCATATATGAGTGAAATCATACTGTATTTATCTTTCTCCATCTGACTATTTCACTTAGCATAATACCCTCAAGGTCCATTCATATTTTTGCAAATGTCAAGATTTCATATTTTTTTATGGATGAGTAGTATTCCACTGTGTGTGTGTGTGTGTGACATCTTATCCATTCATCTGTTAATGTGCACTTAGATTGTTTCCATATCTTGGCTATTGTAAATAATGTTGCAATGAACATAGGGGTGCATATATCTTTTTGAATTAGTGTTTTCATAACCTTTGGATAAATACCCAAAAGTGGAATAGTTGGATCATATGGTAGTTCTATTATTAATTTTTTTTTTTTTTTTTTTTTCTGGCCACACCGCGTGGCATGCAGGATCTTAGTTCCCCAACCAGGGATCGAACCCGTGCCCCCTGCAGTGGAAGCGCAGATTCTTAGCCACTGGACGTCCAGGGAAGTCCCTGGAATTGTTATTGTGTTCTTGGTGACTTCAACCTTTTCTCGTCATCAAGTGTTCCACTATTTCTAGTAATGCTTTTTGCCCTAAAGTTTACTTTGTGGAGCACAGGCTCCAGACACGCAGGCTCAGCGGCCATGGCTCACGGGCCCAGCCGCTCCGCGGCATGTGGGATCTTCCCGGACCGGGGCACGAACCCATGTCCCCTGCATCGGCAGGCGGACCCTCAACCACTGTGCCACCAGGGAAGCCCTATTATTAATTTTTGAGGAATCTCCATACTGTTTATTTACATTCCCACCAACAGTGTATGAGGGTTCCTTTTCTCTGCACCCTCACCAGTACTTGTTGTTGCCTGTCTTTTTTATAATAGTTATTCTAACAGGCATGCGGTGATATCGTATTGTGGTTTTGCTTTACATTTCCCTAATAATTAGTAATGTTGAACATCTTTTCATGTGCCTGTTGGCCATCTGTATGTCATTTCTGGAATCTCTACTTAGATCTCTGTCCATTTAGAAAATTTTTGTTGTTGTTGACTTGTGTGAGTTTTGTTTTTTTAATTAATTAATTTATTTTTGGCTGCGTTGGGTCTTTGTTGCTGCACGCAGGCTTTCTCTAGTTGCGGTGAGTGGGGGCTACTCGTTGCGGTGTGTGGGCTTCTCATTGTGGTGGCTTCTCTTGTTGCAGAGCATGGGCTCTGGGCGCGCGGGCTTCAGTAGTTGTGGCACACGGGCTTAGTTGCTCCGTGGCATGTGGGATCTTCCCAGACCAGGGATCAAACTTGTGTCCCCTTCATTGGCAGGTGGATTCTTAACCACTGTGCCACAGGGAAGTCCCTGTTTGACTTCTTTATATATGGTTTGATTACTGTAGCTTTGTAGTATAATTTGAAATTAGGGAGTGTGAAATTAGGGACACCTCCAGCTTTGTTCTTTTCTCAGAATTGCTTTGGCTATTCAAGGCCTTCTGTGGTTCCATACAAATTTTAGGACTTTTAAATTCTATTTCTGTGAAAAATGTTGGGATTTTGATAGGGATTGCATTGAATCTGTAGATTGCTTTAGGTAATTCTGGACATTTTAACAATGTTAATTCTTCCACTACTATGTTAAGTAAGAGTGGTGAGAGTGGCATCCTTTTCTTGTTCCTAATCTAAGAGAAAAAGCTTTGTTTCTCTCTGTTCAGTATGATGTTGGCTGGGTTTGACATATATGTCATTTATGGCCATTATTCATTTTATTCAGAGTTTTATCATAAATGGATGTTGAATCTTGTCAAATGCTTTTTCTGCCTCTATTGAGATGCTCATATGATTTGTATCCTTTTTTTGTTTATGTGATG